AAAATTATTTATCCTAACTTTTAAATCTTATTGAGTCTTCCTTTATAACCTCCAGTGTTAGTTTTTCTTGGAATCTCCAGGTGTGGGAAACAACAAACATTTATATGTTTTAAAAAAAAAGAATTTTTGTGCTTTCTTCCATTGTTGTCCAGCACAGTTTCTCATCCGTGTATTATGCTGCAAATTTTCCTTTTTTTTTTTTTTTTTTTTTTTTTTTTTTTATTTGTGGACATAATAAGGCTTTAATTTTATCAAATGGATTTTTGTTATAGATATTGGTCAGATTTTATATAATAGTCACTGCTTGATAATGGGTTCCTTTTTTTATACTCTGTTAACCCTATTTATATAGCTTGGTCACTTTGACTAACCTTGCAATCAACCTAGAACCATGAAATTATAAATATTATAACTTTTAATACAATAAGTATACCTTAACAAAATTTGGGTAGCTATTAGTAAACATTACAAGTCTTTTGTACACACAAAAATCAGACTTTTAATTTATTATTTTTACTGAAGATTTATCTCTGAATTTATGAAGTGAGACTCTGACTCGGCTGAGTGTAAGGTTATTTTCATGTTACGATTGAAAATACTTTTTCCATCTTACAGTTTTCAGATTTCATTTTCTTAACCTTTAGGACATCCTAAATAAATATGAAAAGTTTTCCTATAAAACTATATTTTTTCTGTTATTTTCTGTTTTCTTTCTATTGGGTAAATAATGTAATAGCAAATATAATCGAGAGTTATTGACACATTTTGAAAGATGGTATGTGATAGGAGAGCATGTGGTTGGACAATATGATTGGAGGCTGCAAGTTTAGTTTATGTCATAGTCAGAAGTATAAATGGTAGTGGAAGGATTATCTTAATTGTGCAATTTGGAGCAAACAAGTGGTGCATGATACAGAAAATTGAAGATTAAAGATTTATTTAAATATTTATATCTGAAGTTGATAAATTAAAACTTATACAACATTAAATTTCGGTTATTAACTGTGTTTTGATGCCAAGGTTATTGATATACATTGATAATAAAGTAGTTTTCATGTAACTCTGTAAAAATGTGGTGACATGCACACTTTTAGCTACCTGTATCCAGAGGGTTAAAGTGTTAGGTTGTGTCCCTTAGATTTTATTACTTGTGTGTTGAGGTGTAGTAGATAGCTCTTTGTATTGAAGAATTTTTCCTACCACCTTATTCCTTTTCGTATTCTTCAATCATTACTTCTTTTCTTGGCTTCTAAATATATGATTTTTCTGGGATTAGTAGCACAAGAATGATTTGACGCAAATCTTATACAGCTGTTAGAATCCTTATATAGTCATTACCAGTCTTTTATTTTTTTTTGTTTGAATGTTCTGGAACTGAATTTGTCAATGGATTTAAGTATCTTAAATTGTTCTACCTTATTAAGGTTGTTATCAATATTTTTAGAGGTTTATTTTAGAGAGCCTCAAAATGTATTTAGAAAGTTGAGAAATTCATGATGGTTATTTTTTATTAATTACTATAACTGTTTGTTTGCCTCCATCTTTTCCTTGTAGATCCAAAGACTTTCATAAACAACCATTGTGGAAGGCAGTTTCCTGGTTGTACTGTATTGATACAAGAAGCTCCTGATACAAAAAACAGCAAATCTCAGAAACCAAGTGGTGATGATGCATTTGTTAAAAAATTTTGTAGGGAAAATAATCAAAAGAGGTGTCAGATTTCTCACATTATGGATGCATTATACAGTTGTGTTTTGTGTGGCAAAGGGTTTGGTAAAAAAAGTGTTTTTAAAAGACATTTTAGGATTCATACTGAAAAGAAACCATACAGCTGTTTGATATGTAGTAAAGGATTTGGCAGTAAAGATCAACTTGAATTACATCAGAGGATACATACTGGGGAGGAACCCTACTGGTGTGTTGAGTGTGATAAAGGATTTGCTAGTAAAGATCAACTTGAATTGCATCAGAGGGTACACACTGGTGAGGAATCCTACTGGTGTATTAAGTGTGATAAAGGATTCAAGAGCAAAGATCATCTTCAGTTACATCAGAGAATGCACACTGAGGAGGAATACTACATGTGTGTTGTGTGTGATAAAGGATTTAGCAGTAAAGATCAACTTGAATTGCATCAGAGGATACACACTGGTGAGGAATCTTACTGGTGTGTTGAGTGTGATAAAGGATTTACCAGAAAAAATCAACTTGAATTGCATCAGAGGATACACACTGGGGAAGAACCCTACTGGTGTGTTGAGTGTGATAAAGGATTTACCAGTAAAGATCAACTTGAATTGCATCAGAGGATACACACTGGGGAGGAATCCTACTGGTGTGTTGAGTGTGATAAAGGATTCGACAGCAAAGATCAACTTGAATTGCATCAGAGAATGCACACTGGGGAGGAATCCTACTGGTGTGTTGAGTGTGATAAAGGATTCGACAGCAAAGATCAACTTGAATTGCATCAGAGAATGCACACTGGGGAGGAATACTACATGTGTGTTGTGTGTGATAAAGGATTTGGCAGTAAAGATCAACTTGAATCACATCAAAAGATTCACACTGGTGGGGGACCTTACAGATGTGTTGTGTGTGATAAAGGATTTGGAAGTAACAGTAACTTAAAAATACATGAGAAGATACACACTGGAGTAAAACCATACAGTTGTGCAGTATGTGGCAAAGGATTTAGACGGAAAACTGATCTAAAAAAACATGAAAGATTACATACTGGAGAGAAACCATACAGTTGTGTTGTGTGTGGCAAAGAATTTAGAATTAATGACCAACTAAAGATACATGAAATGATTCACACTGGTGAGAAACCTTACATTTGTGTATTTTGTAACAAAGGTTTTAGAAGTAGTAGTACACTGAAAAAACATGAAAAGATACACACTGGACTAATGCCATACAGTTGTGAAGTATGTGGTAAGAAATATATCACAAATGGTCAACTACAAGTACATCTAAGGATACACACTGGGGAAAAACCATACACTTGTTCAGTGTGTGGTAAAGAATTTAGAAGAAATAGTCACCTGAAGGTACATCAGTTGGTTCATACTGGGGAGAAACCATACATATGTGTAGTTTGTGGCAAAAACTTTAGATGTGGCAGTTTGCTAAAAAAACACGAGAAGTTACATACTGGAGATGAACAATATAACTGTGATGTGTGTGGTAATCAGTATACAACTAATAGTGACCTAAAGATACATGAGAAGATGCACACTGGTGAAAGACCATACAGTTGTGGTGTATGTAGTAAAGAATTTAAACGAAGTAGCGATCTGAAAAGACACCAGAAAATACACTCTGGGGAGAAGCCATACAGTTGTGTAGTGTGTGGCAAAGGATTTACAAGAAATAGTCACCTAAAGGTACATCTGATGATACATACTGGGGAGAAACCATTTAGTTGTGCAGTTTGTGATAAAGAATTTGAAACAAATAGTAGTCTGAAATTACACATGATGATACATACTGGAGAGAAACCATACACTTGTGTAATGTGTGGCAAAGGATTCAGAAGAAATGGTGACTTAAAAGTACATCATAGGATACACTCTGGAGAGAAACCATTTAGTTGTGTAGTATGTGGCAAAGAATTTGGTGTAAAAAGTTACCTAAAAATTCACGAGAGGATGCACACTGGAGAGAAACCATACAACTGTGTAGAATGTGGCAAAGATTTCAGAACCAGCAGTTCACTAAGAAAGCATGAGAGGTCACACACTACTGAAAAGTGATAGTTGTATGGAGTGTGGCAAAGAAATTGAAATTATTGGTAACATAAATCATCATTATATGATTCATGTTTGGAAGATAGTTTTTACATCTGTTACAGGAAATTAATATAGGGTTCATCTTTGTAAAGATAGTTATCTAAGTGGGAGAAAATCATAGAAAAATTTTCAGTTTGTGACAAAAGATGTGAAATACAAAATTGTGATATAATGTTATAGTTAAGCAACATAAAACCTTAACTTGGAGCAGTTGTAAGTTATTTCATGAAAAATTCCCACATAATTACAATTGTTTCTCCTTAGTTCTTTATTCTGCATTTTAAAAGACTTATCTTTTCACTTTGGTTTTATAGATAACAGATTAACATACATCAATAGTCATTAAGTTCACAAGACTTTCACAATCATGTAGTATTCGTTTTATGAAATAACATGTTTACATGATTGGGAGGCTACATGCTGATACAAGTATGTATGCATTTTTTCTCACAGCATTCCACTTTTTTCATAACATAGCGAAATTCTGAATATAGATATTAATATAAATCGGTGTTGTCATGCATTCAAGTTAATCATAGGACAATGTTCTTGTTAATAAGTAGAACCCACTAAGTGAGTAAACAAACATTGTTTATAGTTGGTTGTATACTTCAAATAGTGACCCTGACTCATTAAAACATATTTTCCTTTTTTCAAAATTCTCTTTCACTTGTTTATCCATTGGTAACTGGACTTTTATCAGAGAAGAATCTGATTTGAAATTTGAATTTGCTTATTAAAACAAGTTTTGAAATTTACAGTCAAATTATTGATGCGTGTTATTTGACTCTCCATTATTTTTATTTTCAATGCAAAAATTTAGAAATACTTAATTTTTACAAAGAATTATCATCAAAGTTTATTATATAAACTGTGTATGTATTTTTTATTTTATTTCCATGTGCATTTAATAATTGCTATATCGCAATGAATTTCTAGATCAAGAACTTTTTGGATTTTTGGCAAACGTATAGTTAGCCTTATTGCTTGTTTCATTATATATATTGTACAGTAATAAAGAAATACAAGTAATCCTTTGATTGTGACATTCTGAAGAAAGTTTTCTTGGATTTGAACACCCCTGTAGTACTGGGAGTTACTGTCTGTATTCTGTACTATCTTTGATTGTGAACTAAGAAAATAAACTTGAACATGAATTTCTGTTTAAAGTCCAATTATTTAAAGTTATTTAAGTATTGGCAAACATCCATCAATGTATATTCTGGAAACAATTACTATTATAAATGTTATGATTAGGGTAATTGAATTCAAAATGATCCTACTTAGTTAAGTTTTACTGATGTGATTTGTGACCAAAAGAGTAATCTACACAGACAACTCAAGTTTTTAATTGTATGGCAAAGTATTATAAGTAAAACCATTGCTATATGGCATAAGCTACCAAGATTTTACAAGTGTGCTAAACAAATAGGTAATTGGACAAGGCCCTTATCTTTAATATGAGGGAAAAGCACCAAAAGTACTCCTCCATACATTTTGACAGGTTTAGAATTTCTCCACTTTGAGTTTTTGGTCCAAAACAATGAATGGTTCACTACACACAGATAAAGATTCTAAAATGAATTTTATATTTGATTAATGTAAGAAATCAAAGGTCATGTAAGTTTGTCATTAAACTGCTTATTTTCTTAAAACAGTTTCACTCATGTTTGTTGTAGTTTCTATCATATCAAGACCCATGCTCTCTCAAAGGAAGTTTAAATTTAGTGTTTGTGAAAATGTTGAGAGGGTGTATGCACATACTTCCTCCCATTCATACATTTTGCTTCTGATGCTTTTTGTAAAAGAGTACACAAGGTGTACTCTGAGGTGTGTGGTGAGGAATTTAGAATATATGATCATCTGAAAGACCATTCAAAGAAGACCATTTTGATGAGAAACGGTACAGTTGAAAAGATCATGGTAAAGAATTTGGAAAAGTTATTACCTGAAGAGAGATCAGAAAACATACATTGGGGAGAAACTATACATTTTTGATGTGTGTTAAATTATTTATAGACTCATTACATCTTCAAGATGTTAGATCACGTACAGTGGTGAACCTATATAGGATTTGTTCCATACTGAAATCTAACAAGATTGATTTATTACAATGAGTGAAAATCTTCATATTTTAAAATGTCATTGATCCTTTGGCCAAGAAAGTATGTTGTTTAAAATATAAAATACTGTGAAACATTACATTACAAATTCTTTTTAATACCTCCAAGGACTAATTTTTACACATCTTTAAACAGAAATTTATAAAGAACTAGGTAAGATGATTATTTAAAATTTTCAGGAATCAAGCATGATTTTATCAGTTTTGTTAGTTCTAAAACTTAATGGTTATGGTTTTGAACAAAAGGTTTCCTGGGCAGTTACTTGTGAAAACAATAAGTTTGAAAGGCTATTTTTATGTACTTTTAATTAGAAATCAGTAAGTTTCTAATTGTAAGGAATATGGAGGAGAAGAAAATACCAAATGAGATATTATTTGCTAAGTTCTCATTAAGCAGTAACTTTCTAAAAACATCATTCTGTTTTGTTGTGGGACCAGTGATTTTACACAAGAAAGCCTGTTTTTATATTTTGTGGTGTGTGTGTGTACTGTATCATGAAAAGTAACTCTGAGGTGTGTGCTAATGCCAAGTTTGTCCTATAAAAAGTTTCCTACTGTTCTAAGACTGTACACTTTATCAAATCACTCACTCTGTTGTTTTATGTGCTAGATGAAATTTGCAAGAACAATTTTTGTGTAAGCTGCTATGTATATCATTTGGTATGATTTCTAATCAACTTTAACATTCCTTTCAAATACAATCTTCATCTAAAAGAAGTGACAAGATAGAAAAATCATAATGTCTTATAATTCTTTTTCTGTTGTATGTAAATTGTTTATATTAATTTTGATATATTTTCAGTATTTAAAAAAAAAAATTGTGTAAAAAGCTGTTAGCTACTTTGTAGTAACCATCATCAGGTTTGTGTTATAATTACAATTTGAAATTAAAATGTTACATATATTTAATTGACAAGGGACTTGAAAAAACCTTGTACAATACCAATACATTGCTGGAAACTGGTATGGCAATATAACAATACTTAAAATCAGTTCTGTTTCAATAATTAATGTTAACTTAAGTAAGAGTAAAAGCTCTATAAGCCAAAACTAAATCTCAAAAATTGTAGAATGTAAAGTTGTCATAGCTTATTTTTTTTGTCAGATTACTAGTAACTCATTACAATGGCTGTGTTGGATTTGGCCTTGAGTCATGGAAGTCCTGGGAAACAACTAACACTTTTCCATGTCTTCTGAACATATATCGTATTTGTTTTCTTTTGTATCTTATTTACTTCTTTCTTATCATGAGTATCTATTTTATAACCTCAGGTGTTGGTTTTTCTTGTAATTCCCAGGTGTGGGAAACAACAACTAACTTTCCAGTGGTTTCAGAATTGGTGTTGTATTTGATAGTTTTTGTACAGTGTTCTTCTGTGCACCCATTTTCACTATTACAGTTTTTTCTTCTCTATGTATCAAGCTGCAACTCACCTTTTTCTATATTGTAAACATAATAATGTCTTCAGTAGAAGTTTAGTTCCAAATCATAGCTTGTAGTCAAGTTTGCTGAGGATTTGTGTGAGATTTTATCCTATTCTTGTAATATATGGTATAAATCTATATATTTGGTCACAGTTGATGTTAAAGTTTTAGGTTGCTGTTCCTTAGCTTATTTCACTTGTCTTATGAAATGTATTGGGCTCTGATTTTTTATTTTTTTTTCATACTATATCATTCCTTTAGGTATTATTGAGTTGTTATTTTTTAAGTTTCTAAATCACTGGTTGTAAAATTTAGAAAGCTGTTGGTGTCCTTTGGGTTCAAGCATTAGCAGTTTTTTTTTATGGGAACATCTTTCAGCAGAAGTTGTCTGTTGGCTTTACTTATCTTTCTATATCTTACTAAGGTTGTTACTGTCAATATTTTTAGTAGCTTATTTTATAAAAGAGTCAGAGAATTTATTTAATGAATTGAGAAATTCATATAGGGTATTTTTTTTAATTACTATAATTGTTTGCCTCCATCTTTTTGTTGTAGATCCAAAGACTTGCGTAAACAACCATTGTGGAAGGCAGTTTCCTGGTTGTACTGTATTGATACAAGAAGCTCTGGATACAAAAAACAGCAAATCTCTGAAAACAGGCAGTGATGATGTGTTTGTGAAAAAGCATTCAAGGGAAAATAACTTTCAAAAATGTCAAATTTCCCACATTGGAGATAGTATATTATACAGTTGTGTTTTGTGTGGTGAAGGTTTTGGTACAAAAAGTGTTTTTAAAAGACATTTTAAGATTCATACTGAAAAGAAATCATACAACTGTTTTGTGTGTACTAAAGGATTTAGCAGTAAAGATCAACTTGAATTACATCAAAGGGTACACACAGGGGAAAAACCATACAGATGTGCTGTGTGTGATAAAGGATTTGGAAGTAATAGTAACCTAAAAATACATGAGAAGATACACACTGGAGTAAAACCATACTGTTGTGTAGTGTGTGGCAAAAAATTTAGACGGAAAACTGATATGAAAAAACATGAGAGATTGCATACTGGGGAGAAACCATACAGTTGTGTTGTGTGTGGAAAAGGATTTGGAACAAATGATCAACTAAAAATACATCAAATGATTCACACTGGTGAGAAACCATATATTTGTATAATTTGTAGCAAAGGTTTTAGAAGTAATAGTACATTGAAAAAACATGAGAAGATACATACTGGATTGAAACCATTCAGATGTGTAGAATGTGGCAAGGAATTTGTTACAAATAGTCAGCTACAAGTACATCAGAGGATACACACTGGGGAGAAACCATACAGTTGTGTAATGTGCGGTAAAGAATTCAGTAGAAATGGTCACTTAAAAGTACACCAGCTGATTCACACAGGGGAGAAACCATACATTTGTGTAGTTTGTGGCAAAGATTTCAGATGTAGTAGTTTGCTAAAAAAACATGAGAGGATACATACTGGAGAAAAACAATATAGTTGTGACGTGTGTGGTAATAGGTATAGAAGAAGTACTGATCTAAAAATACACGAAAAGATACACAGTGGTGAGAGACCATACAGTTGTCTAGTGTGTGGCAAAGAATTTAAACGAAATAGTGATCTAAAAAGACACCAGAAAATACACTCTGGGGAAAAGCCATACATCTGTGTAGTGTGTGGCAAAGGATTTACAAGAAATAGTCACTTAAAGGTGCATCTAATGATACACACTGGGGAGAAACCATTTAGTTGTGTAGTTTGTGACAAAGAATTTGAAACAAATAGTAGCCTAAAATTACATATAATGATACACACTGGAGAGAAACCATACACTTGTGTAGTGTGTGGCAAAGGCTTTAGAAGAAATGGTGACTTAAAAGTACATCAGCGGACACACACTGGAGAAAAACCATATGGTTGTGTAGTGTGTGGTAAAGAATTTGGTGTAAGTAGTTACCTAAAAGAACATCTGAGGATACATTCTGGGGAGAAACCATACAGTTGTATAGTGTGTGGCAAAGAATTTGGAAGAAGTTGTTACCTTAAAAGACATGAGAAGAGTCACGCTAGAGAAAAATTGTAGAATTTTTTTATTTCTGATAAAGAATTTATAAAATAATCTTTTCTGCAAATTGAATACATTAATTATTCAGGTGAAAAAACCATACAGGTATGAAGTTTGTGGCAAAGAATTTGCTAAAGATGTTAGCTGAAAGAATATCTGATGTATCACTCTAGGGAGGAACCATATAGTTGTGTGTGGTAAAGAATTTAGACAAAAAACTGGCCTAAATGAGAGGTTATGCACTGGAATGAGAAGCCATACAAGCATATTGTGTGTGGAAAAAGATTGGTAAAAAAATAAACTGAAAGGACATCAGAAGATTCACACTGGAGATGAACCAAACAGTTGTGTTGTTCTTGGTAAAAAAATATGTAAGTTGTAGTTCTAAAAAAAACGGGTGAAACACATTTCGGAAAATTATACACTTAAATAGTGTGTGTTAAAAAATTTGGTACAAATTGTCAACTAAAAATGCATCTAAGGATACACTGAGGAGCAACCATACAGTTGTGTAATGTGTTATAATGATTTTAGA